TTTATATCCTTGTCCCCTTTGTCTCTTTGTTGACCAACAACTTTTCTAGTTTTCTAAATCCTTTCTCGTTGCCAACTGAAGGCTAGGATTTTAAATCCTTGTTTTCTTATTAAATTTCAACTCTTCAAGTTGGTTACATACCATTGAATTCTCAAAATTTCAGCACTTATGACATAGAACTTGATATACTCCAAATGCATTTGATGACCTTGTAACCTTCACTAATTCGATGATTAACTATCGATATTATACCTAAGCATTCCAATAACTTTGTTCCACTCGAATAATCATGTAGCTCAGATTTAATTACATTGTATTCTCAAACTCAAAATTAGTAGGAATTAACTAAAAGAATTTACAGGGCTTTACATTCTCCCCCACTTAGAAACATTCGTCCTTGAATGTAAATTCTTGGTCGTGTTAAAGTCTAAAAGCGTAATCTCCAAGCCTTTTGTGTAATCTCCAAGCCTTTTGCTTATTTCTTGGTCAAAATTTGACTAACTCTTCAAATTTTTAAACATTTTGACAGAGTTTCCTTCGTTAATAGGCTTATCCCAAAATTCCAACCTCACAACGAGCCATAAGAATACAATATAAAAGGTCCCACGTGGCTCAACTCATCACAGCTACCTCAATGAATGCATCCGCGACTTCATATATCTCCAGACACTAGTACATAGCCTCTCCCAACATCACAACAATAAAATTTATTACCATAAGACAAGTCTAACAACCATGTGCAAGAGATAAATCAATCAATCACTTGCCCCATGGAAGTAAATTATGATAAACTCTAAACTCAAAATTTCTAAAAAAAAAAATAGTCATACCTGAAGTAATGAATAAGTGTTGATATCGGATTTTCATATCTTCCTCGGCTAATGCATCCGCGACTTCATATATCTCCAGACACTAGTACATAGCCTCTCCCAACATCACAACAATAAAATTTATTACCATAAGACAAGTCTAGCAACCATGTGCAATAGATAAAACAATCAATCACTTGCCCCATGGAAGTAAATTATGATAAACTCTAAACTCAAAATTTCTAAAAAAAAAAATAGTCATACCTGAAGTAATGAATAAGTGTTGATATCGGATTTTCATATCTTCCTCGGCCTCCCAAGTAGCCTCATCGACGTCATGATTATGCCATAACACTTTAACTAAAGCTATGTCCTTAGTCCTCAACCTACAGACTTGCCTATCAAGAATCTCAACAAGTTCTTCCTCATAAGTTAAGCCGTCATTTATTTCTACTACCTCCGGTGAGACGATGTGAGTAGGATTGGGCACATACCCCCGTAGCATCGATACATGAAAAACAGGATGAACCAAAGTCATCAATGCAGGTAACTCCAGCTTGTAGGCTACTTCCCAATCCTTTTCAAGATACGATATGAACCAATGAATCTAGGACTTAGCTTGCCCTTCTTCCCAAATCTCATAACGCCCTTCATTGGCGATACCTTCAAGAACACTTGATCACCCTCTTTAAACTCCAACTTACGTCGATGTACATATGTATAGCTTTTTTGTCCACTCTGAGCATTCTTAAGCCGTTGTTGAATCAAAGCCACCTTCTCTAAGGCATCATGTACAAGATCGAGACCAAGTAGTCCTACCTCAGTCGGCTCAAACCATCCAATAGGTGATCTACAATGTCGGTCGTACAAAGCCTCGTATGGAGCCATCTGGATACAAGCATGATAGCTATTATTGCAGGCAAATTCGATCAGAGGTAAGTGTTCATCCCAATTCCTACCAAAATCAAGGACACAAGCCCGCAACATATCCTCAAGCATCTGAATAGTTCTCTCAGCTTGTCCGCCAGTCTGTGAATGAAAAACAGCACTCAAATTGACACTTGTACCCAAACCCTCTTGAAAGGACTGCCAAAAATGAGCAGTAAATTGGGCCCCTCTATCAAATATAATGAAAGCTGGAATACTGTGAAGTCTGACAATTTCTTTCAAGTACAACTTAGCGTACCGTGGTGCCGTGTCAGTCATCTTTACCGGTAAGAAATGCACCGACTTTGTAAGCCGATCTACAATCATCCAAATAGAGTCATGCTTCAAGCGGGTGCGAGGCAAACTCACCACAAAGTCCATATTAATCATCTACCACTTCCAAAGCGGAATCTCAATATTTTAAGCTAACCCACCGGTCTTTGATGCTCAGCTTTTACTTGCTGGCAATTTAAACATCTAGCCACGAAGTCTGAAATATTTTCCTTCATTAGATTCCACCAATAAATCTCCTGCAACTCATTATATATTTTTGTAGACCCTGGATGTATAGAATATTTCGAGCTGTGTGCCTCAGCCATAATTTCATTACGAAGTCCATCAATATCTGGCACGTACAAGCAACTGTTCATCCTCAACACCCCATCCTCGTCAAGAGAAAAGGCGAGGATATCTTTAGATTGTACACCATTTTGATTATCCACCAAATTTGGATCTTCAAATTGCTTAGCCTTGACACGCTCAATAAGAGAGGAACGTGCTATGGCACAAATAGAAATCTCTTTAGCTATCGGTAAATGCGCCAAAGTATCTCCTGACTTTCGGCTAAGCGCGCCGGCTACCACATTCGCCTTTCCCGGATGGTAATGAATGCTCAAATCATAATCCTTCAATAGTTCTAACCATCTCGTTTGCCTCAGGTTTAATTCCCTCTACTTTAATATATATTGCAAGCTTTTATGGTCAGTGTATACTTCATAGTGCTCACTGTACAAATAATGCCGCCAAATTTTCAAAGCAAATACAACTGCGGCAAGTTCCAAGTCATGGGTCGGATAGTTCTTCTCATGGATCTTTAATTGTCTAGAAGCATAAGCGATAACCTTACCTTTCTGCATCAAGACACAACCGAACCCATCTCTATAGGAATCACAGTAAACTATAAAGTCACCTAAACCTGTTGGCAACGTCAATGCCGGCGTTGTAGTCAATCTAGCTTTCAACTCTTGAAAACTTCTCTCGCAAGCATCCGACCACTGAAACTTCGCAGCTTTCTGTGTCAACTTGGTTAACGGAGATGCAAGAGTAGAAAAACCTTCAGAAAACCGCCGATAGTAACCCGCTAATCCCAAGAAACTACGGATCTCTATCAGTGTAATTAGTCTAGGCTAACTCTTAACCGCTTCAATCTTTTGAGGATCAACCTTAATACCTTCACGAGATACTACATGACCCAAGAATGCCACGGATTCAAGCCAAAATTTACACTTAGAGAATTTGTCATATAACTCATTCTCCAAAAGCGTCTGCAACATTATTCTCAAATGATTGGCATGCTCCTCTTGACTTCGCGAATAGACTAATATGTCATCAATGAAAACAATTACGAGTCTGTCAAAAAATGGTTTGAAAACCCGATTCATTAGATCCATAAAGGATGCGGCTGCATTTGTTAGCCCAAATGAAATCATCAAAAATTCATAATGTCCGTAGCGGGTCCTAAAAGCCATTTTGGGAATATCCTTTTCTCGAATTTTCAACTGATGATACCCCGATCTTAAATCAATCTTCGAGAAGAGCTTCTCCCCTTGCAACTGGTCAAACAAGTCATCTATTCGAGGTACTGATGGTCACTTTGTTAAGTTGCCTGTAGTCAATACACATTCTCAAAGAACCATCTTTCTTTTTCACAAACAACACGGGCGCACCCCAAGGTGATACACTAGGTCTAATAAACCCTTTATCCAGTAAATCTTTCAACTGCTCCTTCAATTCTCTTAACTCGGCTGGAGCCATTCGGTATGGGGGAATAGATATCGGTTGCGTATCTGGCACCACATCTATCCCAAAGTCGATACCGGTGGAATACCCGAAAGCTCATCAGAAAACTCATTAACAATTGGCACAGTTGTGTCAATGACTCTGACTAAATGAGAAATACATCCCTTCGTGATCATCTTCTTCGCCTTAAGGTATGAAATAAATTTACCTCGAGGCTCAGCAATATTGCCTTTCCACTCACGAACTGACTCATTAGGAAACTCAAACTTGACCACTTTAGCACGACAATCAAAAATGGCATAACACTTGTATAACCAATCCATCCCCATAATCACATCAAAGTCAACCATTTCTAGCCCAATAAGGCCTGTCGTAGTCTCTCGATCTTGAATTATAATCACACAACCCCTATAAATGCGGGAGGAAATAACAAAATTTCCCACCAGAGTCGACACAGAAAATGGTTCAAGTAGTTGTTCTGGCTCTATCTTAAAATCCAAAGCAAAGTACGGAGTTACATAGGAAAAAGTAGATCCAAGATCCATAAAAGCATAAGCATCTAGAGCACAAACTATAAGTATACCTATGATGACAGCATCTGAAGCCTCTACAGTAGGGCGAGTAGGCATAACATAGAAACGAGGATGAGTTCCCTGAGAAGTAGCAGCTGTATGTGGCACATTTCCTGCATTACGCCCATTGTGGGACCCATTACCCCTAGGTGGGGGCAGTGCAGCTGAAGTAGTAGCCATAGAAGGTGTCGGGTGAGCTCCCTAACCCTGTTGCCCGTTAGGGCAAAACTTTTGGATATGACATGTCAATCCATAACCATAGCAAGGACCACAGGGTCCCCTGGTAACACTAGGCCGATGCTGATGAGAACCCACACTACTCTGACCCTGTTGTGCAGTACGGTGCTCACTCTGAACGGACCTAGACTGGCCTCTTTGTTCGGAACTATATGCCACTGGAGGGTTACTGAAAGTTGTCTACATCCTAGATTACGGTGGGCCAGATGATCCTCTGTTGTTCTGCCCCTTGCCCGAACTAGGCACTACACTGAAAGTGCCAAAATTTCGAGCCTTTTTGTTCTACTCCCTGTTGGCCCTCTCCTCCTGATGAATCCTCTCGAGATCCATTGCTAGATATACAAAGTCAGTAAAGGTAGTGTTTCTTCTCCCACTAATCGTATATTTTATGATGCCCGCAATCAAGCCACGAGCAAAGCGATTAATCTTCTCATCCTCGGTGGGGATGAGGTGGGGAGCACAACGGGATAACTTCTCGAATTTGATGCTATACTCAAGGACGGTCATGGTATCCTGCTTTAAGGTCTCAAACAATATCGCAAGGGCGGCTCTCACTCCTGGTGATAACCTCTTCTTAATGAAGATCTTCTTAAATTCTGCCCAAATCATTGGAGGTGCATCCTCCGATCGACTTTTCTCTACCCCTTTGAACCAGAGGTTAGCAATGTCTTTCAACTGGTAGGCTGCCAATCGAACCACCCGGCAGTCTTTAACTCCTAGCAAAGTAGTAGCTTTCTCAACTTCCTCCAAGAAGTCCTGAGCGTCTGCACTGGGATCTGTACCAATGAAAATCGGCAGCTCAAGTCTCACAAATTTCATGGCCAACTGTGCCATGTCCCCAATCGCTGGTGCTCTTATCCCTCCTTGTTGGAGTGCCTGAATACCCACTTGAAGGTTCTGTTGGATCTGCATAGCCATGAGATCAGCAAAAGTATCCATAGCCTTTCTAATATCAGTGAGGGTCTTTTCCAAGTGAATTTGTTCTGGAGGTGGAGCAGGTGCCTCATCAACTTCTTCCTCGAGCTCCTGGACCATCCTTGGAGCCATTGGAACTGGCACAGTCCGTGCTTTTGCAGCCTTCGGAGTTCGGCCCCTAGGTCTAGCGGGTACCCCTCCCGAAGACGCATCATGTATAGGAGCGGCTTCCCGATTCATATTACCGCCATACGTGTTCACCATCTTCTGCCAATTGATATAGCGCACGAGTTAGGAAATATTTCTTAGTTCTATTGCACGATTCTAGAATAAGAAGAAAGAGTGAAGTATTCTTATAATGTCCATATAGCCTTCTAGATATAAGTGTGGTGCACAACACACCAATAAAGAGAACTCTACCAGACACGATTCCATAGACTTCCTAGGACTCGAATTAGAACCTAGGGCTCTGATACCAAGTTTGTCACGCCCTAAAACTACGTGACCGGCACCCGGTACTCTACCAAACCCGAATGAACCATCCCATAGACTAATACACATTTATATGCCTAATAGGAGGATGCTAAAGCCTCTTCAATTACAATCATTTTAAGATATACGACAAAACATTATTAATGTCTTTAAGTAAATATTTTTCCTTTGAAGGCAAAGCTTCATAAAGATAAAAGAAAATTTCATTCATGCACGTCATGTAAGTAACCATAGTATTACAACCTAAAATAAATACTACTATTGTCTATGGAATTTCTATTAAGCGAAATGGAATAGTTAACCAAGGCATATCCTGGTGGTTCAAAAGGATAGTAATATAATAAAGTCCTCCACGAATACTAGCGTGGAGTCTCACCAAATAAAGTCAACGGGAAATGTAGAGCTGCCCTATCCACGCGGCCCAAGCTGCTCAGGTCCAGTCCCTGAAAATAGAAATGAAAATATGGCCGAAAGGCCTAAGCTCCACATGCCTAGTACGAATCATGAACCGTTCCCCAAAAAAAATAGGACAAGATTTAAGAAGATATAAGATATGCAATAACAATTGATATCGAGAAAGAAGCCTTCACATCAATTAACAATTTAGAAAGTAAAATAAAATAATATGGTAAAACATATTTCAAAGTCTTCCATTAGCATTGATCTTTGCAAAATCATGTTTGATTTTTTATTTATCGGGAGCAATATACCATCACCGACACGAAAGAAGGTCAACTAAGTTACGTACCTAGCGGCAAGTATCATATACCCTACTTGCTAAGGTCGTCTCATCGTTGTGCCGTACGAATCGACTCAACTATGCTAATAAAGTAGCACAATAGTACCCCTAATGGGAAGTACTCTATCGTAGTTCCCAATCGTAAGGTAGGTTCTACGCCTAAACCGGCACGTGTAGTTTCATGACCAAATAAGGAAAAGTATCCAAGGTCAATCTCGGTGAATTTAAGTAACTCCCAAAACCTTTACATTTATCGATGATGATTTTTTTATAGCCAAATCAACTATTTGAGAATAGTTAAATTCAAGATATTTCACAACTCATGTATTTCCATTTCAAAAAATATAATACAAGTGCTATTCCCTATTTATTTAGTTTTAAAAAAAATTAAGATAAAATATTTCAAG